TATTTTTCCACAGCACTAAGTTTGCAATGACAAGGCCCTCCGGGCCTTAAATATAAAATTTGTGTATTTATTTACTCCTTCTGTGATTTGCGAAAACTTGACCTTATCTAGTTCCGCTTTCGACTAAATTGTTCGTAGTGTAAGGGTGGACCTGTTGCTGTATAACTCCTCCAGAGTTTGTTCTTTTGGTTTATCTTGCTTTTCAAACCTCTCGTTAACCAAGTGGACCGGCTTGCCTTTAGCACTTTTGTCAGCGGGCAGTTGCAATCCATAACGTCGTCTAAAACTCTTCAGGGAATGTCATTATCGGCATCCGGACTACCGGTAAGAATGTCATGCCAACTTAGTATCGATAGCTCACTTCTTCTCGCGGGAAATTCCCGTGCCAGGAATTAAGCCAAACCTCCGTATTCTCCGTTTGTTCGGGGTTGAAACCGCATTCGCATAGAAGCGTGATTTGGTAATTCTTGCCAAGCGGTACGATTGAGCCGAGTTCATCTGCATGAATTTGATTTTCGACAGCAGGGGGTCTAGACAGTTCGCTGTTTGTGTCTCTTTGATTCCTGTTGGAACTGCAATATTCTGAAAGAGGAACAGATTGACCGTCAGCTTCAATAGTCTGAAGCTAAAGCAATCGCGCAAGCCGTTTACTGATAACTCGTTCCAGTCGATCAGTGTAGCGTTAAAATCTCCAGCAAGCAGTGTCTTTCCGTTTAGGTCAAGTTCTTTCATTTGGTCAAAAATGGCCTCGAAAATATCTGAAGTTTCATTAGGCGGTATATAAACGGTCAATAAATGTAGAGTTTGTACATCACACATCTTCAGTTTAAGCTGTAATAATTAGCAATCATAGGAGTAACTGATTTTACTTTCTGATGCAACGAGGCCCATCCTGACAAAGACTATTATTCCTCCTCCTCCTTTGCATAGACCATCCCGACGAAAAATCTGGTAAGCACCAGGTACAATTTCGGCATCCATTACGTCGGTATGTAACCCGGTCTCTGTAATGAAGATGACATCCGGCTGTAGGTCGACTACAGGGTTAAGGTCACGCCTTGCATTCAAACCTCGGCCAACGCGCTGAGTCGAGGGACTGGGCGGCCAAGGTTGTCCCCGCCGCGAGACCACGTCGGCGCCATCTCGTGTTTGGAGGCGGTGGGCTGCAGCACCGCTACACACATACCACATCTATCTTCTGAAAAAAAACTCTGTGCGCTCGTGTAAAGAAAGCAGAGCTTCGCCGGATCGTAGCCAAGATTTTTGTACGGATTATATACTCTATCGCCTAATTTTTAGTCTAGTCCAG